GAGCGATGGATTTTGGGGGGAAGAAGTACGAGCGAGGCAGTAACTGGTCGGACCCCGAGGTGGTGGAGCTGCTGCAGCTCTGGGCCGACGAGTCGGTGCAGGTGGAGCTGGAGAGCTGCCTGCGCAACCAGCACGTCTTCAACCGCATCGCCGAGGTGCTGCGGGAGAAGGGCATCCACCGCACGGGAGACCAGTGCCGGGAGAAGATCAAGAAGATGAAGCTGGAGTACCGGCGGATCAAGGACAACAGCAAGGCCCCGCGGGGCGGCCGGACCTGGAAGTTCTACGAGGTGATGGACCGGGTGCTGACCAGCCGGCCCGCCCTGGCCTACGGGCCCCTGGGCGGCAGCGTGATGGCTCAGCAGGTGCTGCAGGGCAGCCTGGTGGAGAGCTACCACCACCAGTTCGCCAGCCCGGCCCTGCCCTTCGGGCACTCCCAGCACCCCGAACTGATGGAAATCAAATGTGAGGAGGTGAACTCTGATGAGCACTGCTTGACCCCAGAGCCCCCATCATCCATGTCTTACCAGCAGGGCTCCCCTGAAGAGCATGAGATGGAGAGAGCCTTCTTGGAGAGGGCCCAGAACGACTCTCCCATCTCCAGGGTGGAGATTCCCATTGAAACCAGTGTTTCACCTTCAGGTAGGGATAGCCTTTTACATTCCAGCATAAGGTTTCTGCCCGTGTTCCCAGAAAGAGATACCATTTTTCTGGTGCAGAGATAGACACCTGGTTTTCTCACTGACGTTTGGATCCTTATTAGATATCCCAAAAAGCTTTCAAGTTGAAGGCTGGTATCTGCATTCCTGGTCTCCTAGCCGTTCCCAAAACATATCTTGCTGCAGGTATATACATACAATCTACCACACTAGGCTAAATATTGTGTATGAAGTCCAAAGGCTGGCACGTCTGCCATAAGCCAGGCTAGGCATTTGTGCTAGATTTATGCTTATGTTTCTGACAGTACTTACCTTAATGAAAAAATAAATATTGCATGTTTTTTGGTATCATTTAAACATAACCAGGGCTGTCTGCTGTCCTCATGCTGAATTGTATCAGGAGACCCTCTTCTGCCATGGCTACACTATAAACCTGCAGGTGAAACTTTCCTTGCATTCTCTTGAAATATTTTCCAGATCTAATCTTTGAGGTCACTCAGCAATGGGTTGAGGAATTGCCTCTTCACTGTGGTGATTTGTGTGGTTAGCCCAGTGGAGGGAACTGACAGCCATTCAGGTTAACTCAAAGGCTGCAACTAGCAGTACAATTGGGTGCCCAATGTGTGAAGTTAAAAACAAACTTCAAAAAAACACTGAAACTTCCAGATGTACCTGACAGGTTTGACTTTGGTTTTCCTGTAGAGCCCTGCAGTAGATCAAACATTTTTTTTCCCAGGAAGGGCAAGGGAAGGCAGCAAAGCAAGTCCATGCCACTTCACTTGCTGCCTGCTTAATTTTCCTTCCTTGCTTCTTCATATCCACAGGTTTCAGTGAGCCAAACATGGCAAACTCCTCGCGGATCCAGAACGTGGTTCCCCGGCCTGGCTTCTCCGCCCTGCACCGCTTGAGGAAAAAGCGGAAAGGCCAGCGTGTGAAGGACCCGCTTGATGACCTGTTGCTGAAGACCCTCACGTCTCAGCGGGCCATGGAGGAGCGCTTGCTGCAGATGGAAGAGCGCCGGTTCCAGCGGGATTTGGATGTAGAGGAGCGGCGGATGCAGCTGGAGCAGCGCCGGTTTGAACTGGAGAGGGAGCATGAGTTTCGCATGTTCAACGTCTTTGCTCAGATGCTCAGCATCCTGAAGCAGAGCCACAGCAGCTCCTCCTCTGTGTCGATGCCTCAGGGCTTGGACTTCAGCCAGGCACTGTTTGAAATTACAGGAACGGGAGGAGGAGGGGGCAGCCTGCAGGAGATGAAGAGGAGGGTTAACATGCACGGCTTCTGTAACCCCAGCAGCTTCCAGAGAAGCCCCTACCTTTCTGCTCGTGGTAACATTGCCAGCATTTTTTGTGGCTCCACTGAGGAAGGGTACAAAGCTTATCATGCTGACAAGTATGATGAAGACAAGAACCCAAATGTGAGTGAGAACCTCAAAGGGTTTTCCTGGATTTCTTGCTAGGAAAAAAAAATCTTTCTTAGAGGTTTGCCAATGGATATGCTAAAAGTGTGGGGTTTCTTTTCATCTCGCTAACACATGGCTGTTTGTTTGAGGAAGAGAAAGAAAAAGTAGCTTTGCAGTTCATCTGTATATCAGAGATGAACGCCATGCTCAGCTCAGGTTTGCATGTTGTTGGTTTTTTTTTCCCTAGCAGGGAAATAATAGCAGTAGTAGATCTTAAAAGGTCTAAGAAATCTTTAGACAGAGAGCTCCTGTTCCTCCTTTCATCTCATCACCTCTCTTACCCACTGGAGACCACCTCTGATTATTACATCAGATTATTGCAGGTGATGGGTGCAGGTGATACAACAACTAGACTTTTTTTTAAAAAGTTACTTTCAGCTAACACTCAGAATTTTTCCTGCCTGTTTACACTTGGCGGCTCATTTGTAAGTAGCTCATCATACCCCCCTTGTGGCGCAAAGGCTGAGTGTTAGAACTTCATGGCAAGTCATTACCGAGTAACGAGTGGAGTAAATAGAAATAATTATTTATATGTGGATTTCTTCTAAATAGATCCCACATTCAGATGGTGAACACTTAATACTTAAAAAATGTCTTATTATTAGCCCTGACTTTATTCACACTATTGTGGGAGATGAAAACTAGATTTTAAAGATAGAAAAACAGAGCGAAGTTTTTGGTACAAGGTGCATTCTGGAGGTGCAAACTGCCTCTTCTACCAACTGTTGTCTATGTAGGAGGTAACTTTTTAAACAAATACCTAGAACTGGACTTGTACTTCAGTAACATAATAATGTATCATTGCTTAGATTTCCTTTGACATTTTAAAAAAATACTTACCCTATCTCTTTCAGTAATAAAACTGTGCTAGGGGATTTGAACTAAACCTGGAACTGTAGGGTCATTTCTCCAGAGAGGAAAATTTAATGTTCTCACTGCTTTTCATGACTACATGTGTGTGTGGTTTTTGAGCAAATGAGTGGAGTGGAATTGTAATGACTGATAAACAAATGTTTTTATATCTAAAAGAAATGTATCCAAGACTTTGTTTAAAACTGCTGCAGAAGGGTAGACCTCAGTTTTCTCAGAGTTGTTTTAGGGTTTCTTTTGTAGTCAGATATATACCAGTGAGTGAATTCAAGATTGTCAAACGTATTCCATAAGGAAGTATAAACTCTTAGTAGTACATATTAATTTACAGTTTATTGACTAAGAATCAGGAGTGCCTGAGCTATAGAAGTAAATGCACACACGTAGATGTATCTCAAGTTATATATGGCAAAGTTTATGTGAACTGTGTTTTGTCTTTTTGTCTTCTCCTTGGTAAGCTTTTTGGAGGCGTTTTAGTGAAGTAATAGTTAAGGTGATGTATGCATATATTTTTTGTGTCTATAAACAATAAATTATTTCTTTTTCTAGGGTATAATAAACTTTGGCACCAGTGAGAATAAACTCTGCTTTGACCTGATGTCTAAGCGGGTAAGTCTTATTTTAAAAAAAAAAATGGTGAATTTGCTGTGTAGTTTCTTTTCAGTGCTTTCCTAGAGCTATTGCTGTTCCTCAGGTTTCTCTGGTGAAGTTTTTCATAATTAATTTTTAATTTGTTGGAAGTAACTTTTGAATCCAGCTATTTGTACATTTATTTATGTTATTCTTCCAGGAGGATAGGAACAAAGGTTTCTTTCTGTTCCTCTTCATGATGAGTTTCCCTTTGGGGATGTGCTTGGCTCAGAAAATTAAATGAAAATAAGATGCATTTTATTTTCTCCTGCTGACAGTAGTTGATTTAATACAGAGGTTTTGAAATTAGTTTTGAACTCTGTCTAATTTCAAGGATCTTCACATCTGTCCATTATAAAGTCCCACAATTTGGACACCCAGTTCTGATCTTAACTGGAACATGTGAGGGTGGCAGCAGTGAAAGGTGGCAGCTCTTGAATCTCTCAAAATCAGACTGGGTCAGCTCCTACCTGCTTACTTTGTTGAGTTGCACCAAGGAGAGGCATGAAACACAGGGCACAACTCAAAACAGTAGAAAAAGTCAAAAGAAAGCAACAGACCTGTGCTTTGGAAGAATCCTCCTTGATTTCCAGTGAAATCAGTGCCCAGGTGCAGCTTGCCAGGTGGGCAGGTGGCAGTTTTTCCTACCTGAAGTTGTCTGTGGGGAGGGAAGGTGGCTCAGGGTCGGACAGCCTGTGTGGTTTGAAGTTCATGTTGCTCCTGTTCCACCAATTCCCACCCTCAAAATGTTCCTTGTTTTATTTCTGCCTGCCACTCCACTGACTCGGGGGATCGCTACCCCATCACTCCGCCTTCCAGCTAAAAGAACAGGTAAGGCAGAGATGCTGCCTGCACGGAAAAGGTGCCTTCTAGAGTGCAGAGGTGGTACCTTCCTTCCTTTGCTGTCCTTTCCCCTTAAAATTAACACCAAGCCTGCAGTAAATAGTGCAGAGGGAGACAGTAGTCAGCTGCATCTTAATTAGCCTTACTATAAAAATGAGGTAATTCTTCATTGGCTACAATGACATGAGCCATGATGTTTGTGGTAATAAGCTGAACAAAGATATTGTTCAGCCTGGAGTTACAGGATGGCTTTGCTGAATGCAACACCAGCTGAGAGGGAGGGCAAATAATTTCTTGCTATTTGGGACAATAAATACTTACTCTTTCCACTGAATGAAGCAATGTATCAGATTTCTGTCCTCAGCTTTTGACCCTTAAATTAGAGAATATTTTGTGGTATGAGATCTCAGATGGTATTCCTTTCAGTGATTTGGTTTCCTTAGCCCATAATGCCCAATATCCATTACCTTTAAGGGTTCTCCTCTCTATTAATTGCATAGTTATTTTTGGCCAAGCCTGCTGATACATTTTATGTTGCATTCTTTAGATAAGTTTAGGAGAGAGATCTAAGGAGGCACAGTTCTGTGCTACATAGGCTTCAAGAACATCTACAGCTGAATAAAGGAACTTTAATCCTATAATAGCAGGTTGTAATTCTGCATGGGATAAGGACACTGTATTTAAACTCCAGAGCTTGGCACTAATTATAAAAACACCAATACAGAATATTGTGGCTTTGTTATTATGTGAGAAACTTTCACGCTGCATGTTGAATTTCCCTCCTCCCTTGCACTATCACCTACTTGTTGTGTTGACCCTCTCCAGACCTGTTTTAATATTAACTTATGCATTGCCATTGAATATTTGGAAGGTACATTGCACATAATATTTATTTTCCTTTTTTCTATGTAAAATGTCCTCTTTCTGTCCATATAACCACTGTGCTTTGCCTTGCAACTTCATAGAACTGGATTCTGTGAAACCCTGATATATAAAACCTTAAAAATACTTAGACAAAAGCAGTGTACATGCTCTTTCTAAATGTAAACATTAGAAAGGGCTTCACTCTTCAAGTGTATTTCTCTCCGAGATCATTCTGATCTCAGAGTGCCTGCCTGGGGGAAGAATTATCAGGAAGACAATTTAATTTTTCGTCTGTCTTTTGAATATCAAAACTTATCAGAATTAGAGATCTGAATGAGCTGAAACTGAGATATAAATGAAAGCTAGAATTAATTTAAAAGAGAATATATGGAAAGTTTATTAAAGAAAATACATATCTGACTGATTCAAAATCCTTTCAGTCTCTTTCTGACAGTCTAGACCTGAGCTTTCTTGGGCAAAACACCCTTTGGGACTCTGGGTTGCTTCATTTGCTGAGAAAGTCTTCTGCAGGAATCTTGGTTCTTGGGCATTGTGTACATTGCTTGTTCTGTATCCTTTGTGTAGGTCTCTGTGCAGCCAAGTTTTGGCTGCAACACCTTAGCACAAGCCTGTACGTCAAGTAACCTGAAGTTATCACTGATCAGTTTGCTGGTCACTGCTTCTTCAAGCTGCATGAGTTTTGATGGTCAGAGGCATTCTCAATCCAGTTTTACAGCTGTTGAAGTTGCTCGTGTGTGGGTGTGGATGTGTTTCTATGCAGGCCTGTACATGGATCCCATCTATCTCCATGTTTCCAATATCAGTGACTGTGCTTTTAATGGTTCTTCTCATCACTCCCAGCTGACACAGACTGATATGAATCTGATGGAGCCTCCACTGCTTCAGTATCCTGATTGGAAAGGACATATGTTGTAAGTCTTCTCTTTTCTGTAACATTCCTTTTTTTGACTACTTGTCTGATAAGCAGAAAGGAGGAATACCAACTGCTTCTGCTACACTTACTAATCAAAACTTTTCTAGGTCATTTCATGATCTTTTTCTTTGCAAAACTGCAAATTAGCTGCCTTACCAGTTCGTCCAGTTAAAAATCCTTTTATGTAAGAGAAGATACAAATTTTCTAAAGTAAACACATTTTTAAAAGCACTGTATATATTAACAAATTGGGTAACTCCAAAGAGATCTTTGAAACACAGGGAACACTTGGGGCTTTAATCCTTCTCTTCTGTGCCTCAATTAAAGCTCGTCAGAAAGGTATGCACCATTATAGACAGTATCCTTGACACCTTTGCTGTGTGTAAGAGTCATGCTTGTGACATGGGCCTCAGTTATCCTGTTTTCTAGATATTTTCACCAGATTTTGCTGTGCCCTGGCTTTATTTTCCTGACGTGGACCTGAGGAAGCCCAGCTTCTTAGAGAATAAGCTGAATCAATATTTGCTTTTTTGTCTTTCTCAGCTTACGGGAGGAAGTGGCTCGATTTTTGACCTATTACTGCAAGGCCCCAGCACCTCTTAAGGCAGAAAATGTGAGTAACCCACTTTCACAGAATCACAGAAATGCTGGAGTTGGAAGGGAGCTCTACAGATCATCTAGTCCAACTCTCCCACTGAAGTAGAATAACCTAGAGCACTTTACAGAGGACTGTATCCCGGCAGGTTTTGAATATCTCTAGAGAAGGAGACTCCACAACCTCCCTGGGCAGCCTGTTCCAGGGCTCTGCTGTCGCCCTCACCGTAAAGTTTTCCCTCATATTCAAATGGAACTTCCTGTATTCCAACTTGTAGCTGTTGTCCCTTGTTCTGACACTCAGAACTACTGAGAAGAGCCTGTCTCCATCTTCCTTGCACCCACCCGTTAGATACATGCATTGACAAGGCCTCCCCTCAGCCTTCTCATCTCCAGGCTAAACAGTCCCAGCTCTTTCTGCCTTTCCTCATAAGAGAGATGCTCCAATCCCCTAGTCATATTCATAGCCCTCCTCTGGAGTCTCTACAATAGCTCCCTGTCTCTCTTGAACTGTGGAGCCCAGAACTGGGTGCAGTATTCCAGCTGTGGCCTCACCAGGGCAGAGTAGAGGGGGAGAATGACCTCCCTTGACCTACTGGCCACACTCTTCTTTATGCAACCTAGGATTCCATTTGCCTTCTTGGCAGCAAGGGCACACTGCTGGCTCATAGATAATTACTGGCTATCAGGACTCCATTGGTGTCTATTCTAATATATTGTCATTTGTTCTCAAAGAATTTAATCCTCTTTTTTTATTTTTAACAAATTATTAGGTGAGATGACAGCCTTCATTCATGTAAATGAGATTGATTTGCAGCCATTTCAGTAGCTTTTAATGCACACTTCAGCCAAAACACTTCGGGGTCTAATGTGTATTTGCTTCATGCTTTACTTTTGTGTGCCAGCTCTTTATGTCAGTACTCTTAATGGGGCTTTATGTTTTCATCTTTTATTCAGCTCTGGGATCTACTGTGCCTGTATCCCTCAACCTCGACGAAGGCTTGACTGTTGTTTCAGTCAAGTTTAATTTCATCCCATTCTGCTGTTATGCTTCAGGACAAAAATCTATAACTGAGGCAAGAGCAGTTTTAGCCTGTAAAACCAGACCTTTTCAAACTTTGCAGCTGTGTTGTAAGGAAGGCATCAAAACCTGAGTCTCTGGAGGACTTGCTGACTTGGGAGAGATACAGGCTGGGCTCATGTGCCAGCTCTGGCCTCTGCTGAGTGCTGAAGGCAGCAGGACCTGGTGCAGCCATTGTTTTTCTGGCTGCAGTAGTTCAGCAAAAGCCCATACTTAATGTGAACTGAAGTTACCACCAATCTATTTGCTGATCACTGCTTCTCCAAGGCAGAAGCTTGATCCTGCTTGATACTTGGAATGAAACTCATGGAACCTGTGAGCATGTGCCTTCTAGAAGCAGGAGTCAGACTTGCTCCTCTATGAGACTTTTGCACAAATCTGGCAGGAGGTTGGAGCTGCTGTTACCACAAAGAGACAATAACACATATTAACTGATGAAAAGTAGTTTCCTTTTCTAGCAGTTCAGAACTGCTCCCCCTTTTTTTCCCCTGATTGAATCCTGCTCTTTTTCTAAATTGTGTGTTAGAATCAAGAATGGTACCAGAACAAAGTGTCTCTGAAGCAAAGACAAAATTAAAAATATGTCTGGTGGAAGTGGGATTTCAGCAGGAAAATTCTGGGAACATTCATACTACAGAATTGGGGAGAAAATATATTTCAGTGATATAAGCACAAATTATTATTTTATAGTCTTGTCTTTCTGTGGGCAGATTTATCACTAGCCTGTCTCTTTCTTCTGTAGGTGATTGTTTTAAATGGTTGTGGCTCTTTATTTTCTGCATTAGCTACAGTCCTTTGTGATCCAGGGGGTAAGTAGCTGTTTTGGAGCTGTTTTGAGTGTTTATTTTTACTGGGAAATAATGTGTTCCTCTGTTTAAATAATTGTTTGGAAAAAGTTAAGTAGTGGAATTAGTATGAGCCTACTGCAGAGTTCTTGGCCTCTGCAAGATTGTGCTGTGACGTGAATCATCTCCATGGTCTGAAGATGTCATGCATTCACACTTGGTGTCTGGCTCTGTCTGCCTTCATTGTTTTTGTGGTGCCCTGTTTTAGTTTGTTAGACTAAATGTGGGCTATACTTATGTTTACCTGGGTTCTTGCAGAAGAGTTAACGTACAAATGAAGTGGAAGAAAAGGCATTACAGTGTTTCCAGAGGCCACAGCTGTAAAAAAAGCTTTTATGTTTAGCTGAAGTACATTAAAAGAGAGAGAAGGACCGTGACTTGTTGATAACCGATTTTGCTTTCTCGGTTCCAGAAGCTGTTCTGATTGCTACTCCCTTTTATGGTGGTATTACCCAGAGTGTCTTCCTCTATGGTAATGTCAAGCTGGTGTATGCCTATTTAGACAGTAAGGTAAGATCTGAGGGAAGGCAATACCAACCTGTGTAGCTAAAAAATAATTGATACTGGAAAGTGCTGAGCTTTGGGGATCTCTGAAGGCAGTCCTCAGAACAAGGATAGGCTGCAGCCCATGGACACTTTTCCAATTAATTGCTGGGAAACTGGGCACATAATTTGCAAGGAAGATTTCTGAGACCATAAACTTGGATTCTAGTTCTGTCCTTTTCTTGTATCTTACTCCTAGTCACAGCTCTTGGGAGTTAAAAAATGGCCATTTTGAGCCTTGGAGACAGAAGTATTCACTGTCCTACTAAAGATGGTCCCAGGGGGTGGAAGAGCAGATGGAGATCTTGCATTGTTTTATTTATTCAGTGACAACCAGAGAATTATGTGTGTGGCCAGCCTACAATGAATATTTTTTTAAATGTAATTTTATTTTTAAATTTATTTATCTATTTAATTTTCTCTGTAGTAAACAAGGATAACAAAATTATTATTGTTGCGTTTTTATTTTCTTTTTCAGAACATTTCACAGGGGATCAGCTCAGGGTAAAGTCTATTGAAATAACTCGGCCTTTTTTATCTTTGTGATGTCTTTCAGATTACTGGAACAAGCACTCGGCCTTTTCAGCTTACAGTGGAAAAACTGGAAAAAGCCTTGCAGGATGCCCGGGCAGAGGTGAGTTTAGCTGATCTTCACATTACCAGTTAAGTCTACAATGTGTTTGAGATGGTACATCCCAGAAATGGCCTGAAGATCAAAACATTTTTAAAACCTTGCACCTGACTTTCTGGTTGTCCTTGTAGAGCACCTGAGATTAGGCTGCTTGCAAAGTCAGGACTAGTTTTAAGGGCAATTCTCCAGGGTCGTATCTATCCAGTTTTGGTCACAGCAGAAAGGATAAACCAGGAGTATCAGACCATTCACAAAGCACTGGAACTCATTCTTGTTAAAAAAAAACAAAGTACTTGGGCATGCATTTTCTCCTTCGGGAAGGTCAGCTGAGTTACCCCAAAACTGACTGTTCTACATAGTAGTGCAGATGAATCCACTGAGAGTTTTTGCAGAAGGGAGAGAGGTGCAAATCTAGAGGATAAATCCAGATGGATATCACCTTTCTGAGGAGTTAATATGTAAATTTTCATGTCCTAAACCCCATGTATGTTTAGCTGTGTCTTTAGATCATCACTCGCTCTGGCATCTCCAGCCAAGTGTGCTCTAAATGAGAACAGTTTACATACACAGTTCAAATTCCTATCTTTCTTGCTTGATTCATGGGCAATCTTCAGTGATTTGTTACTTCCCAATTACTGATACAGTTCAGAGAATGTCCACTTCCATGCTGAGAACATGTGAGAGCATTTTTCTCATTAATTAATGGGCTAGATGGCAATGGTTGTTGCAGACTCCCTCTTTCAAAAATCATAGATTTATTCTATAATCTTTTCCTCAGTTCACTTTGCAAGTGATATAATTGTAAAAAAAAAAATCTTAATTTGTGGCTAAAAGTTTTCTGGTACAAATATAACCTTTAACTTGAAAAGTTATGGTGGAATCTACGGGGAATATTGTATCTCACTGCTCAAGCAGAGGGACTGAAAATTTATCCCTTGATGGGCACTCTCTTAGTACTGCATTATTTGTCTTCTGCAGGGTGTCACTGTAAGGGCCTTAATTCTTCTGAATCCCCAAAATCCCCTTGGGGACATCTACTCCTTGTCAGAGCTACAGGATTATCTGGAATTTGCTAAAAGGTATGTCAGTTTGGAAGGCTGAGGCATCCTGAGTTAGATATGGCTTCAAGAATCTGGTGGACTGTCTGCTGACTTCTCACTGTCCCTGAATTAATCTGTGAATATATTTTAAGTCAGGCAAACAGTCTATTATTCACACACAGTGGTGGGCTTAAGAGAGGAGAGGGGAGTGCTGTAGACAAGTGAACATGGACCATGCAGTCTTCTGGAGTGGCAAAGCAACTTGCATCAAGGAATGAAAGTTTTATTTGTTGGTAGCCCTAGCAAACATTATGGTGCTGTGCTTCTCTAGTAGGAAGCTGAGTTCATTTCCTCTCAGTTTTTCTGCGTGTGAAAAGACGAAGTGATATATCACTATGGCTTCCCAGCCTCGTCATGGGTATCACGGGTAGTCTCTGAGATTCAGAATTCTGAGTGGATGGTGCTACAACTTAGTCTGGAGAGGAAGTACATACAGGAATTTTCACTACTGCATTGGAAATGACTGATTTTTTATCTTGTTACATGGTTGCAGTGGGTGTCAGTTAGGTGGATATTTGTAATCTCCATTTTGTCCTTTTGCAGACATGAATTGCATGTGATAGTAGATGAGCTCTACATGCTGTCAGTTTTTGATGAATCAGCCACGTTTCACAGTGTCCTAGGCATGGACAGGTAAAATCAGCTCCTACTTCCCTGGCCATCTTCCAGTGACAGTTCAACATGATGCCTTGCTGAGAACTTGTGACTGGAAGTTAAGTCATGAGCTAGCAAATTCTGAATCTGCCTCACACTGATTTCTTCTATTTTTGTGATTTCTGAATGAAAGATGTGTTTTGTCAAGTGCAATCTAGCAAGTAAAAAAATGGTAGGTAGTTTTCTGGTGAGGTACACTTTTTAATGGGTGCTTGTGACAGTCCCCAACACTGAAAACAGGTATTTCTTATGTTGACAGTGAGGCTCTTCTTCCTACCTAAGCGTTGTTACACCTTTCCTGCACTTCTGTTGATGCCTGTAAATGCTTTCTGTTGCTGTTTACTGTCACTTTCTTCATCCAGTAGTAGTGTTATTACAGACTGGATAATGGGTATTATTAGGTATTGATTTAATGGGATGAAAAACTTTTCAAATCTCAGCTTTAAAACTATGGTGTGGGTTATTCTGTATTTGGTTTTGGTATTGTTTTTTTTTCATGTATAGTTTTCACCAGTGGTGCTTTCTTTTTGTGCTTAATTGCAAAGAAATTAAATACACTTGTTAAGTGTTAGCTTAGTGTTGCTGAACTTGGATGTACAACAGTGAAAAAGAAGAACTTTATCTCCTTATGCAAAACAACTGGGGTCTGAAAGAAAGAAAATGTCACAGTTTGACTCAGGATCAGCAATTGAACCAGCTACAATAATGCTCTTGATCCCCTCCCCCTCCCACCCAGGTAGGGAAGGAGAGAGATAAAAAGGAGAGAGACTTCTGGATTGAAAAGTAAACTAGACAGCTTTAATTAAATACTAATGATAACAGAAAATTATATACAAACTTGTTGAGGAATGTGCAAATCCCTATTGCCTCCCTCACCCCCAGCAACTCCCCTGGCATCTCCTGAGCTGGGAGCAGTTCCGAAATGTCCCGGAGCTGCCAGAGAGAGCAGCAGAGCAGACAGGAGCTGAGGGGAGAGTGATGAGGGTCAGGAATGCACGAGCCTGGGGATCAATGGTGATGGATAGATGGAGTCCTCCCTGGATGCTGGTCATGTATGGAAGAGAAGGGAAGAGAAGAAGCAGGAAGGGGCTGGACTTCCATGATCTCTGACCTTACACCGAGCTTATTTGGGTATATGGAATGGAATACGTTGGTCAATTCTGCTGTCCCTCTAGTCCACTCCTCTCTGTGGGAGGGCTGCAGATACGACTCTTCTGCTCCTTTAGCATCTGAGGTCTGATTCAACAAGTAGAGCAAAGTGACCTTGGCATCTCAAAGCAGGACAGAAAATTACTTTCAATTCTTGGCAAATACGTTGACACAGACCTGATTTCTAGCATTATGTGAATAAGCTTCATATGTGCAGAAAATCTTCATATGAAATAGAGCACTTGCAATTATCTGTGTATCTGAGATGTTTAAAAATTGTTTCTAAAACTAGTTCCAGGGAGTTCCTAGCTTCTGAAGTTAGATCAGATTCGGATTTTTCCAACTTGACTGATGTTCCTTGCTGCACTGTTTGTCATTGTGTAATGCTGCCTCTCCATTTCTGCAATGCTGCACTGGTGATCCAAAAGCTTCAGCACCTATGACACTAACTGCCCATCTGCATCCTTCTACATACAGATTGCCTGATCCACAGCGGACTCATGTGATGTGGGGAATAAGCAAGGTGAGTTCTGGTTGCTTTCGTGCCATGGCTTCCTGGCTGGTAGGGTTGGCCAGGTGTCCTCAGGTGTCTTCTGCTGGAAAGAACAGCAGGAGGAAAGTAGTAATAGGATCCCAGTCTTCCTGTGTAAGAAAGTAATCTTTCTGTGTCTTCTGCAGGATTTTGCTGTCTCTGGGATTCGTTTTGGTACTTTATATACAGAGAACCAAGATGTTGCTAATGCAGTGGCTTCTTTGTGTTACTTCCACGGGGTTTGTGGACCTGTTCAGCACAAGGTTGCACAGCTGCTGAGAGACAGAGGTGAGTCAGTAGCTCCATGTATGATCCTCTGCCATTCTATGTCTTGGTACCTGGGATACCCTCCCCTTATGTTAGTGGTCTTCTGTTTGTACAGCTTAATTGACAGTCTTCTGTTACCTTGAAGCTGCCAATGTACTGTGAGGCTCACAGTTTTACAGAAAAGGACCACTTCTGCAGAGCTCCTGATAAGCAGAATTAGAGAAGCAGCTTTGAAAAAGTTTGATACCTATTTGTATAGAAATAGCCAGTGTTGTGTAGAACCAGCTGAGCAGGGACAAAGAGTACAAGCTTGTGGGATGAGGGAAATGAAACTACATTTCTAGCTCTGCCCTGGATAGAGTGCTAACAGTCCACAAAAAATAGGGAAACTTCCTCCAGAAGGTCAGTAAGATGTTCTTCTGCACAGACATAAAATTGCTAAATGGTTCTTGCTCTCCTTTCTGTTATTTGAGGAAACAGAAACAAAAAAAAAGGAGGTGAAGGATGAAATAGAAAAATGCACCGTGTTTTGGAAATGTGAACTGATCTGAATTCTTTCTCAGTCTGTGATTTTTTTCTTTATCTTCTCCTTCTGGACAGACTGGATCAACCAGGTGTACCTGAGGGCCAACCATGCCCGCCTAAAAGCTGCCCATACTTATGTGACAGATGAGCTGAAGACACTTGGGGTTCCTTTTCTCAACCGCAATGCAGGCTTCTTTGTCTGGATTGATTTCCGAAAGGTTGGTGATCTTGGGAACGGGGGCTTCTGCTGGGATGAGGGCAGGCATGTGGTGCAGCTGCATCTAGAGCAAAGTTTAATATTATGATAAGCAATTTGTTTGAACAAATCTTTTGTCTGATGAGCAGGGGAAAGGGCTGCCTGGTATCTCTGTCCGTTCTTTTCCTTTCGTCTGTCTGTGCATTTCCCTCCTTGCAGGAATCTTACTGCTCTCAAGCCACTTTACTCCCCATTTCTTCCTTTAAATCACAACTGCTGTACTTCAGAGGTAAAAGGTGTCTCCCCTCGCCTTTGCAGACCTCATGGGAATCACAAATTCATGAGGATCTCAGTGATTTAGCCTATATGTTGCTAATCTCTGGCTCTTCTGCTGCCTCTCCTAGTACCTTAGGACAGCCACATTTGAGGAGGAGCTGCTGCTATGGAGGCGTTTTCTGGATAACAAGGTCCTCCTGTCCTGCGGTAAAGCCTTTGAATGCAGTGAACCCGGGTGGTTCCGCATCATCTTTGCTGACAAGACCCACCGGCTACAGTTGGGTGAGTAGTATTTTCTTCTCTTTTTTTGTGCAGCACTCTTTCCTCCTCTCCTTAATCTCCTCTCCTTAATGCTGAACTTAGAGAGTCATAGAAGCACTTTAGTTGGTGATTCTATTCTATGATCCTAAGTCCAACCATTAACCCCACTCTACTGAGTCCAGCACTAAGCCATATTCCCAAGCCCCATGTCTAGACGACACATAAACACATCCAGGGATGGTGACTCAACCACCTCCCTGGGCAGCATGTTCCAATATCTGACAACCCTTTCAGTGAAAAAGTTTTTCCCAATGTCTAGTCTGAACCTCCCCTGGTGCAGCTTGAGGCCATTCCCTCCTGTTCTATCACCAGTTACTTGTGAGAGGAGACCAATGCCTACCTTTTTACAAACTCCTCTCAGGTAGTTGTAGAGGCCAATGAGGTCTCCCCTCAGCCTCCTCTTTTCAGACATGATAGCCCCAGTTCCCTCAGCTGCTCCTCGTAAGACTTGTTCTCAAGGCCCTTCACCAGCTTTGTTGCCCGTCTTTGGACACACTCCAGCACCTCAATGTCTTTTTTATATGAGGTGCCCAAAACTGGACATGGTATTTGAGGTGGGGCCTCACTAGTGCCGAGTACAGAGGGACAATCACCTCCTTGGTCCTGCTTGCCATTGGCCTTCTTGGCTACCTGGGCACACTGCTGGCTCATACTCAACCACCTATCAGTCACAACCCCCAGCTCCCTTTCTGACAGACAGCTTTCCAGCCATTCTTCCCCAAGCCTGCAGCATTGCAGGGGGTTGTTGTGGCCCAAGTGCAGGACCTGGCACTTGTCCCTTTGAATCTCATACAATTAACCCTGGCCCATTGATCTAGTCTGTCCAAGTCTCTCTGTAGAGCCTCCTTACCATATTTTTTTTATGTTTATGTTTATATATATAATGTATTTATTTATTATTATCGTTGTCATTGTTATTATTGTTGTTGTTATTATTATCCTATTGTAATTTCCATTTGTCCTCCCTTTCCTTCCATCCTTCACATTTTTCTAGATCTGATGGATTTGGGGACACTTGTGGTTTAAGCTAATCCACTAGTGTTTCTCCTCTTTATACCACTGCAGGTATGCAACGGATCCGCAAGGTTTTGGAAGAGC